ATCCTTTGCTTTTGACAATGCTGTCTTTGTCTCCTCCTGGGCTGCCTGCATGCACTCCATGAACTCCTCTGCTAACTCATTCTTGGATGTGGTGCAGTGTGGTTCAAAGCCCATGCATGGATGGTGGCCAGTGTCCAGCAAGAATGGGGTCTGTTGGGTAGCAGAGTGGACGTGGTTGTTGTAGCTGAACTCCACATCTAGTAGGAGGTCCTTCCAGTCATTCTGGCACTCAATGCAGAAACCATGTAAGAACTGCTCCAACTCCTGGTTGATGCATTTGATCTGACTATTGGTCTGAGAATAAAAGGTGGTGGATGCTGCAAGCTTGATTCCCAGAAGCTGGTAAAGTTTCTGGGTGAACTCCACAACAAATTGAGGGCCTCGGTTGGACACAAATGCATCTTGGAGTCTGTGTAGCTTCCAGACATGCTGGCAGTATAGGTTGGTGGTGCCCAATGCAGTGCAGGCAGTATGGGATGCAATAAAGTGTGCACGCTTGCTGACTGAGTCCACCATGTTCATGATGGCATCGTGTCCATTCGACTCTGAGAGTTCTGTGATGAAGTCAACCAAGATGACCTTCCAGTGGCCTTCGGGGATTGCAAGCAGTTGTAACTTACCCACAGGGAGTTGCTGGTGAGGTTTTGTCTGGAGGCACATGTCGCAGATACGTGTGCAGAAACCAATGTAGCACAATATCTGCAGCCACCAGTAGTTGCATGACACCAGTTCCAGCATCTTCCAGTGACTGGGATGGCCTGCCCTGCTTGGGTGATGGAAAAAGGATGTTTGAGTGCATGTGCATCCCACAGGGCTCAAGGCTAGAAAAAGCTCAAAACATAACTGGACACAACTGGTAATTTATGACTGCATTTCTCAATAAGTAATGTCATGGACACAGAAAAAGATCACATTGTCAACCTTATGATCCATTTACAACAGTGTATATACTACTTCCAAAATATACAAACAAAACACCTATATATATTATTTAGAAAAAGAGTCATTATGATGAGAGTGGGATTCAAACCCATGCCACAAATGACCAGATTGAAGGTACGCATCAAACACATTGGTCCTTAGTCTGGTGCCTTAGACTGCTCAGCCATCTCACCATCAGATGGGCTGAAACTTGCCCTCCCCATTGAAAATGTGACCATGCTGAAGTCTGTAGGCCATAGGAGCTGCCTGCACAAGAACCACATCAACCATGATGAGCTACTGTCAAAAGAAGACTCAGACCACCCATCATGCATCATGCATCAGCATAGGTGACACACACCCATGTCCAAGAATTCACAGCATGATGTGAACAAAACTGCAGTTGGGCCCATTGTAGCCCTCTTAACCAAAGTTCTCTGCCTCATCTTTGCCATGGCAAGGACAATCTCATGTATGAGAACTTGGCCACTGTGCTCTCTCTTAGCCATGTTTACCATCTGTGGTGTGAAATTATGCTCATGGTCAGTGAATCTCTCAAGTGTGCTGTCATGGTCACTGCCCTCCACACGCTCAGCATCCTCCATCCACATACTAATGCTAATCCAGCAAACCAATACATATACCCCATGCTCTTACATTTCTCTGTTTGTGGAGAACAACATCAGAAAAAGATAGTCCCCACTCCCAAAATAGGCATATGGCAATGCTACATCTGCTACAACCATTCACTCACCACCCTTAGAGTCTTCCACTGTCTGGCTATACAAGGTGTACATGATAGGAGATGCAGAGGAGTAGGAGGTATTTGAAGAGATGGGCATGATCCAGTGATTGTGGCAGGCAATTTAAGTGGGAGTCAGATTTGGTTGTGAGTGAGGTGATAGAGCTGTTGGAGGCACTACCAGCACTCAAAATTGGTGAGCCAAATGGTTTTGAGAGCATTGGAGAGGTTGTGAAATGGTTGACATGGATTGAAGGAACAACAGAACTGCAGGCAGATGGGAAGATGGAGAGGGGAGCTTGCGGGTGAGGAGATAAGCTGAGAAGAAAGTAGATACATACTTGCTAGTTCAATGACCCTTCTTCTCGAGAATCAATGTCATCCCTAACATTGCTCACATCCTGGAGAAATGATGGAGGGTGGGTGCATCCTCCACCTAGAGTTCAAATCTCACAGTTGTCACTTTTCTTTGGTCCTTTCACCTTTTTCACCCTCATGAAGGTTATCTTTTTGCCCCAACAATGACCTTGCCCATGACTTCAAATTCTCTATGACAGGAAATTCCCATCAAAGCACTGACATTTGACCTTCTGACTTACGTGCCTCTTATTCTTCCAAGGACAATACACCCTAATTTAAGATGAATGCTCTGTGGTCATGTTTCTTTGAATGGAATGAATTCAATGGAATTGATTTGAGCTGACTTTCAAAACAATCAATATAGCGGCTTTATTCAACTCCATTCTGCCTGGACTCTGACAAAGCTTGACTATTACCTGTTCATTCTATTTGACTACAGGCATAAGATAGAAAAAATATAAGAGGCCTAAGTGTAAAATAAAATTGAAATAGAATGGAATTGTCCAGCAGTTCAATCTATGGCATAGTCATACTACTACAAGGTCAAGAACTGATCCGTCCAGATTCTAGGTCATTGACTGGATGTCTTGCCCCCCCAAAAAGTTGCCAATAAGCACAACTGCAGTCCTTGCATCACGGTGTAATTCAGGTATGGATATCGATGCAGGTGAGCATTCGGGTATTGCCAATGCCTGATAGTGCTCCAAGTGTTGTTTTGCATATGTAGCTCATCCTCTGAGTCAAAATGTCTGTGCAGTTTCTGTAGTCCAGAATGTGAGCATCAAGCATCCTCACAGATGTAGTAGAGAGAGCAAGGTTCTGAGATGTAGATGAGGGAATCACAGAGTCCACCATTTCAGACAACAAAGCTCCAGTGCTGTACTGAGTACTAAGCAGGGACCTCCAGGAAGCAACACATTGAAGAAATGAGACAGCACTGCAAGGAGAGGGCCAGACATTTCTGAAGTTTGCCAGAACTCCGATCTCTAACCTCTTTGATGTGAGGATTGATCATTGTTGCCCATGTTTTCTCCATGTTTTTTGACTCTGCCTTGGAATAGTCTGCACCCTAACATCTGGAGCTGAGATTAGGATGGTCTAAAACCCTCAAAATATAACCCAACAATTGCTTCTTATGCTATTTGTATTTGTTTGCTGTCTCACTGCATTTCCCTTGCACAAACAAGAGGTCTCTTTCATTGTCATGTCGATGTTAGGCAACAGTGAACACTATTCACCCAGCACCTGTTTGCAAACACATGATATTTGGAGATCCCCAAAATGGACTTTAACATATTTATCTGAGCTTAGCTCACCAGGCATGCTGATTGCATACTGGTTATTTTTGTAGTCCATAAATGATCTATTTTAAACTTGTGTTTGTCCCTTTCACAATGCATTTGACATGTTCTCTGTGCTTTCCTTGAAATTTCCTCATGTCTCAGATCTCTCCAAGGTCAATGCACACCAGTCCCAATATTTTGCCATGATGGGCATGCACAAAATGCTGGAAATTGTACCTTCTTGATGCATCACACTTCAAACTGACAATCCCATCTGAATTTACAAAGATGTGCCAGTCATGCCTAGCACAGCAAACTGAAAGGTGCAAAAGTTCCCATAACAAGGAGAACCAGGCCACAGATCATGCCACAGTGGCCACCAGAATTTTTTGCAAACAGGCAAAACCTGGATGAAATTTGTCATTGATCAGAAACAAGGGAATGATGACATGCATCTTGTTGTGGATGTGAAGAGGTTTGAGAACACAGGTAGAAAGCAGGGCACTACATGGGTTGAGGGAGGAGGAAAGGTTGACAAACAGCACATGAAGAAAGTTGAAAAGATAAGGGGGGGAAAAGAGATGGTATTCAAGTGCCGGTACATACTACAGTGTACTGACTTATATAGAAAGAATAAATCAATGTACTCTACAGTCCAGCATAAGAGTAAGCAAAGGAGATGATAAATATCTCAGAATAAAGAGGGGCTAACCACAAGTACATAGATGGATATCTCGGGTTGCATACCTTAATTTCAACTCTCCCCCTCAACCCAAAGACATCCCTAAAAGTTTAACCTTCACTTCGAAGTCTGGTCATGGTAAGGCCTTTGTGAAGATATTGGCATGGTTGTCCTCGGATGCACAGTGGTAAATCACAACTTTGTGAGAAGCCAGTCGCTTGCATACAAAATAATGGTGAATGTCGATGTGTTTGCTGTGGGCATAAAAGATGGAATTAATTGAGAACAAAATTGCTGATTGGTTGTCAGTAATGAGGTCTGTCAGCGCATTTGGTAGGATGCCAAGTTCTGTCATTAGTGAGTGAAGCCAAATGACTTCGCAAGTAGCAAAGCAGAGTGCCATTTACTCAGCTTCCATGCTTGAAAGTGCAACAGTCAGTTGCTTCTTTGAGCTCCAGCTAATAGGGCCACCAGCAAGAATCATGGTGTAGCCAGCAATGGAGTGGCAGTCATCAGGGCTGTTGCCCCAGTCAGAATTGAAAAAGAATGAGATTTGATTTTGCACTTGAGGGCAACAATGAGCTCAAGAGTGGGGGCAAAAATGGACATGTCATTGATGTGGACAGCAGCAATAGTAAGAGTGTCTCCGGAACCGTGTATGTAAATGCACTAGTCAGAGATGAGGCACATAAAACCAAGGGATTGGAACAATACATCAAGGAGCTTGTTCCATTCAGATCTGGCTTGCTTGAGACCATAAATAGTCTTCAGCAACAGCCAGATGTGCTTTGTGCCATTGCTAAATCTGGCAGGCTGCCTAAGATAGATCAATTTACATAAAAGTGAATTCAGGTAAGCCACGATGAAGCCCACATTATGAGACTTTAACCCAAGAGCATTGGCAAGAGCAATGAGGAAATGGAGTGTGTCCATGCATACAACGGGTGCATAAGTCTTATTAAAATCAACACCGGGTTGCTGAGTGAACCTGCATGCCACAAGCTGAGATTTTGCCTTCACAAAATTTCCCTCACCATCAGTTTTCACCTTGAAGACCCATTTGCAATCAATGGCTGTCCTGCCTGGAGGTAAGTCCATGAGTTTAAATGTCCTGAGATACTCAAGTTGAGCAATCTCGGCCTCCATTGATTTCTTCCAAACATCACTAGCCAGAGCCTCCTCAACACTAGAGGGCTCTCTGCTGTCTGTGCCAAAGAGCATAATGTCAGGAATATTGATGGCAATGTTGGCAGTATTGCCAGATTTAGGGAGTGATTGTGATTGTGAGGCATGCTATGATGCGGTTCAGATGGGCCATGAGCATCCAGATTATTAATCAGCCAATAATTCAGCAGTTATGGTGCCTGCATAATTTGGGCCAATTTCTTGCATGGGGGGATAGGGATCTTTGATGGTGGCTGTGCTGGCTGGGCAGTAGTGATTGGCATGGGAGGAGATTGTCCTAGCTCGACACCAGAGGCAGGTACTTTATTCTCCCCCTTGAGCAGGACAGGGTCATCATCATCATCAATGACTTTGGGAGTATTGCAGATAAAAATCACATTGTGCAAAGTGAGAACTTTGCATGTGTCTCTGCTGTAGTAATGCCAAGACTTGGACTCATCAGAAAGACTGACGAAAATAAACACATGTAATTTCCACTCAAGTTTGCTGATATCAGCTCCCTCATGGAGCACCCAGCATTTTGCACCAAATTCCTGAAGCATAGAGACATCAGGCTTCTTCCCAGTTCAGATTTCCTCAGGGGTCTTATTTACAAGAGCATGGGAAGGAGATCTGTTTTTCAAATATGCAGCATAAGTGAATGCCTTGGGCCAGAGGAATTTTGGCAAGTTGTGATGGATGAGCATAGCATGTCCATGTTCAGCAAGAGTGTGGTGGGTATGCTCGGCAATACCATTCTGGGATGAGGAGTAGGGGGCAGTGACCTCGATTCGGATTCCATATTTGTTGAGGTATGCGCAAACTGTGTGATTGAGAAATTCCTTCCCATTATCAAAGCACATTGATTTGAGGTCATGCCCAGTCTGGGTTTTTATGGAAACTCTATATTTCTCCAAAGCTGCAACAGTTTTGGCATCAGTTTTCTTCTTCAGGAAACTGATA